AGATGGAGTCTTTGGGAGGAGAGGCAGGCCAAATTAAATTTTGTTAAATAAAGGCCGACTTGAGAGCTTGTTTATACTTGGGATAGATTGTCCAGGACAGAACCAAGTCTGTCTTTTCCCCTGCTAGTGCCAGGCTGGCCTCAAACTCACAGAGATTGCCTGCCTCACCTCCTGGGAGCTAGGATTGCATTTTGGTATTTGAATTTCATTTTCAGACCATCTTAGTGAAGGTGGATGTGATCCCACCTATAATCCCAGGACTTGGGAAGTAAGGCAGAAAGGTTGGAGTTGACAGTCTGACCTGTATGTCAAGTAACAGACTAGCCTGGGCTACAGAAGACCCTGTCTGGAGCAAACAAAAAATATTAGCCAACACATCGTTGGTTGAAGAATATTCAGCCCGGAGGAAGGAAAGGCTAGTATTGTTACAGGGCATAGGTTAAGTCCACACCAGCACAATAGGAGGGACAAATTTAATCTACCTATAAATGTAGATTGTATTTATTTTGAGTTTTCTATTTCTGTTGCACACAGTTCATTAAGGAGAAGGCTGAAATGCCCCCCCCTTTTAAAGGTGTGGATCCAGAGTGGCTCCAGACAATGTAAATGAGCCAGAGTTTGTACATAGTGCTCGTAGCTTTTGGAGGGAGCCTGCAAGCACCTCTACTTCTACTTCATTCCTACAAACAGGGCTTAGATGGAAAGGTACTTGATGAGAAACAGCTTGCACAGTGTCCACAGCTTGATTTCAGGACAGCTTAGACATGTCTTCAGATCAGCCAGTGAGATGGTTCAGTGGGGTAAAGGCTAATGTAGTTCCATCTCTAGAACCCACATGATGAAAGGAGAGAACCAACTCTAACAAATTCCCCTCTGACATCCACACGTGCATATATTTTAAAAGATTTATTTCTGTTATTTTAAATTATGTCTGTGTGGATGTGTTTACATGAGTGTGAGTATCCACATAGTTCATAAGAGGGTGTCAGCTCCCCTGGAGCTGGAGTTCCAGTTATGCACCACCCAACATGGGTACTGGGAATTGAACTAGGGTTCTCTGTAAGAGTAGTACCTACTCTTAATCTCTCAAATCCCCACACTGAGATGTAATTATTTATAAAAGCTATATATTGTTCCTATAGTCATACTATTTCTCATTTACTCAGAACCACACTGATAGGCATTTTAGACTACCATTTTGGGCTTTCAGAACATTTAAGTGAATATTTTTATACAAAGTTTTTCCTGTTTTGAGCCTAGGAATATATATCTTTATACAGGGTGAGGTCCTGGCTCATTCTCCAAGTGACACACTTGGATATGTAATTACAAAGCAATGAAGTTAATTTTACTAAGTTTTTTTTTTTTTTTTGGTTTTTTGAGACAGGCTTTCTCTGGGGCTTTGGAGGCTGTCCTGGAACTAGCTCTTGTAGACCACTAAATATTTCTTCAGTGAGTGCTGTGACTTGAAGCAGTGAGGGAGCTGTTGAGAGAGGTGGTGACTGAGATGGAGTCTTTGGGAGGAGAGGCAGGCCAAATTAAATTTTGTTAAATAAAGGCCGACTTGAGAGCTTGTTTATACTTGGGATAGATTGTCCAGGACAGAACCAAGTCTGTCTTTTCCCCTGCTAGTGCCAGGCTGGCCTCAAACTCACAGAGATTGCCTGCCTCACCTCCTGGGAGCTAGGATTGCATTTTGGTATTTGAATTTCATTTTCAGACCATCTTAGTGAAGGTGGATGTGATCCCACCTATAATCCCAGGACTTGGGAAGTAAGGCAGAAAGGTTGGAGTTGACAGTCTGACCTGTATGTCAAGTAACAGACTAGCCTGGGCTACAGAAGACCCTGTCTGGAGCAAACAAAAAATATTAGCCAACACATCGTTGGTTGAAGAATATTCAGCCCGGAGGAAGGAAAGGCTAGTATTGTTACAGGGCATAGGTTAAGTCCACACCAGCACAATAGGAGGGACAAATTTAATCTACCTATAAATGTAGATTGTATTTATTTTGAGTTTTCTATTTCTGTTGCACACAGTTCATTAAGGAGAAGGCTGAAATGCCCCCCCCTTTTAAAGGTGTGGATCCAGAGTGGCTCCAGACAATGTAAATGAGCCAGAGTTTGTACATAGTGCTCGTAGCTTTTGGAGGGAGCCTGCAAGCACCTCTACTTCTACTTCATTCCTACAAACAGGGCTTAGATGGAAAGGTACTTGATGAGAAACAGCTTGCACAGAGTGTCCACAGCTTGATTTCAGGACAGCTTAGACATGTCTTCAGATCAGCCAGTGAGATGGTTCAGTGGGGTAAAGGCTAATGTAGTTCCATCTCTAGAACCCACATGATGAAAGGAGAGAACCAACTCTAACAAATTCCCCTCTGACATCCACACGTGCATATATTTTAAAAGATTTATTTCTGTTATTTTAAATTATGTCTGTGTGGATGTGTTTACATGAGTGTGAGTATCCACATAGTTCATAAGAGGGTGTCAGCTCCCCTGGAGCTGGAGTTCCAGTTATGCACCACCCAACATGGGTACTGGGAATTGAACTAGGGTTCTCTGTAAGAGTAGTACCTACTCTTAATCTCTCAAATCCCCACACTGAGATGTAATTATTTATAAAAGCTATATATTGTTCCTATAGTCATACTATTTCTCATTTACTCAGAACCACACTGATAGGCATTTTAGACTACCATTTTGGGCTTTCAGAACATTTAAGTGAATATTTTTATACAAAGTTTTTCCTGTTTTGAGCCTAGGAATATATATCTTTATACAGGGTGAGGTCCTGGCTCATTCTCCAAGTGACACACTTGGATATGTAATTACAAAGCAATGAAGTTAATTTTACTAAGTTTTTTTTTTTTTTTTGGTTTTTTGAGACAGGCTTTCTCTGTGGCTTTGGAGGCCGTCCTGGAACTAGCTTTTGTAGACCAGGCTGGTCTCGAACTCACAGAGATCCGCCTGCCTCTGTCTCCCGAGTGCTGGGATTAAAGGCGTGCGCCACCAACGCCCGGCTAATTTTACTAAGTTTTAAAAATATTTTTATGTTCATTGGTGTTTTGCCTGCATGCATGTCTGTGTAAAGATATCAAAACTCCGGGAGCTGGCGTTAGACAGTTGTGAGCTGCCACGTGGGTGCTGGCAATTGAACCTGGGTCCTCTGGAAGAGCAGCCAGTGCTCTTAATCACTGAGCCATCTCTCCAGCACCATTGTTGTTTGGTTTTTGAGGCAGGGTTTCTCTGTGGCTTTGGAGCCTGTCCTCGAACTCATTTTGTAGACCTGGGCTGGTTTCAAACTCACAGAGATCACGACTGTCTCCCAAGTGCTGGGATTAAAGTTGTGCGCCACTAGAACCTGGATACTAGTTTTTTGATGTGTGAAATTGATGTCCTTTTTGTTACACTTTTTTCTGTTTTGAATTTGCCTATTGACTTATGGCATGTTCTTTGCTCATTTTTGTTAGGTTGCTATTTTCTTTTTTGTGGTGGTCGAGGTGTTGAGACAGGGTTTCTCTGTGTCCTGGAACTTGCTCTGTATGTAAACCAGGCTGGCCTTGAACTCACAGATTCACTTCTGTGTCCCAAGTGTTGGGAGTAAAGGTGTGCACCACCACCATCCGGCTCTAAGATGTCTATTTTCATACTGGTTAGGTTGTTGGTAGTCTTCTTCCTTTATTTCTTCTTTCCTTTCTTCATTCCTTCCCTCCTCCTTTTTTTTTTAACGACTTCTTTGTTTTCTGTCTTTCTACATGTTTCCCAGTTATGAATTACACATGGGTCAGTTTGTAGACACTGTTGTAATTTTTTTTTTAACTTTAAATCACTTGAGCTATAAGAGTTGGAGATAGGAAGCCAGCTTTCCTAACACCATTTATGGAATAATTCATCATTGTCCCATTTCATATGCTGTGATCAGACCCTATTTATTTCTATGGCATGCTTTGTTAGCACTGGCCTATTCAAAGAGCACCATGTCTACACGGTTTCTCTTCCTCCTCTCTCCTTCTGTACCAGGATTACATTGAAGCCTTGACAACGGAGATTATAGAACCTATGGGGAACCTGCTACTGTTGTTTTGCTAAATGGACTTGTCAAACTTCCTTCCAAATATTTATGTTTCTTTCTTTCTTTTTTGGTTTTTCGAGACAGGGGTTTGTCTGTAGCTTTGGAGCCTATCCTGGCACTCGCTCTGGAGACCAGGCTGGCCTAACAGATCCACCTGCCTCTGCCTCCCGAGTGCTGGGATTAAAGGCGTGCGCCATCAACGCCCGGCCAGATTATTCCTTTTTTTAAAAAAAATTTTATATATGTGTATTTGCATGAGTTTATATGTGCCACATGCAAGCAGTAGTATATAGAGTCTAGAAGAGGGTGTTGGACCCTGCCCCTCAACTGGAATTTCAGACACTTTTGAGCTGCCCAATGTGGGTGTTTGGAATTGAACTTGGGTCCTGTAGGAGAGTCACAAGTGCTCCTAACTACTGGGCCATCTCTCTGTATTCCCACTCCCCCTTTCTAATTATGTTGCCTAGGCTAGCTTCAGACTTGTGTAGTTAGGCTGGTTTTACATTTTCTGCAGCCTCATAGGCATGTGTCACCATACTCAAACAATCTACTTTCTTGATAGCATAAAGATTGCTTTAACATTTAAATTTTTATTTCAGTAGCAAATAAAGTTTAGGAATTAAGTAAAATAGGCCATAACATCAGAGGCAGGTAGAGTTAGAGGACACAAAGATACTTACTTTACAGAATGTTGGGCTGGCAGCAGAAGGAGCCAGTAGTTTATAGAGGTTTATAATTCTTGTGAATTATATACTACTATATAGTAGTCACTATATAGTAGGAATAGTTTCATAAGGTATATGCCATTAGTTAATATGGATTCCACATAGCTTAAGTAAACATGAATCCATGCAGTATATGAATTTTTCATAACTGAAGAGAAATGCGACTGTACTCTTAACTATTTTTTTCTTTCTTCCTAGATTTAAATAGTTGAGTAAGATCAAGCTGGGTAACCATGGCTGAAGGTGGATTTGATCCCTGTGAATGCATTTGCTCTCATGAACATGCGATGAGAAGACTGATCAATCTGGTGAGATGAGCACAGAACTGATCTGTATGCTTCCCGGGCTGTGAGAGCAGTGTCTGTCTCTGATAGGTTTCTATTATGGTGGTAGGTCATAACAGCCTTCCCTCCTGAAGGGAAGTCAGGGAAGGAAGGAGCTCAAGGCAGGAACTGAAGGAGAGGCCACCGAGGAACATTGCTTAATCACATGTCCCGCATGGCTTGCGTAGCCTGTTTTCTTAACAACCCAGGACCACAGCCCAGGGGTGGCACTGCCCACAGTGGGTTGGGCCCTCTCACATCAATCAGTAACCAAGAAAATGCCCCAGAGGATTGCTCACATCACATCACAGGCCAATGTGATAGAGACATAGTCTCAGTTTAAATTCCCCCTTCCTTCCCAGAGAACCCTCATTTCTGTGTAGTAGACAAAAAAACCAACCAACACAGAGGTTAATAGAGAATTTTATCCAGATAGTCACTAAAAAAAAAAAAATATTTGATAATGGCAACTCCCTGGTGAAGTAAGACATAATTATAAAACACTTGCCAGCACTTGTTTTGTTAGAGACAAACGATTATTTTCTTTACTTCTGTATGTTTATTTAAGGCATTTGGCATTTTGGTTAGTTAACCACAATCATGCTGAGCCTGTTGTATTCATGTTGGAACAGATCATTGTTTTTAGTTATGTGGAGTTTGTCTACCAAGCTCCTGTGAAACCGTGGATCCTTTCTGATATACACAGTTCAATCCTCCAATATAGATCAGAGAGTAAGTCTCCTAGAAAGAGTTTCTAGATCTAATAAGTTGTTGTAGAAATAAATTTTTTTTTAGCTGAGCCGTGGTGGTGCACACCTTTAATCCCAGCACTCAGCAGTTAGAGGCAGGCAGATCTCTGAGTTTGAGGTCAGCCTCATCTACAGAGTGAGTTTCAGGACAACCAGGACTGTTACACAGAGAAACCCTGTGTAACTAAGACTTTCTTAGTTCATAAGCTTATAACTGATACTGCTTATATAGTATATATATTTTAGTATAAAAGGATAAACTTGACAATTATTAATAATAAATTACTTTTGGCCAGGCATTGGTGGTGCATGCCTTTAGTCAAAGCACTCAGGAGGCAAAGGTAGGTGGATCTCTGTGAGTTTGAGGACAGCCTGGTCTACAGAGTGAGTGCCAGGACAGGCTCCAAAGCAATACAGAGAAACCCTGTTTCAAAACCCAATAATAATAATAATGTCCTTTTGTACTTTTTTTTTTAAGTATTAGGGATCCTACCTAGGGCCTCATGAACACTAGGCAACACCCACTTTGCTGCTGAGCTATTTAGGCAGTCGGATCTCTGTGAGTTCGAGACCAGCCTGGTCTACAGAGCTAGTTCCAGGACAGCCTCCAAAGCCACAGAGAAACTCTGTCTCAAAAAAGAAAAAAAGAGGGGGGAGTGTCTGTCCCTTCCCTTGCCTGGTTGTATGCATGTGACCCTCATCCATACTGCTGGCATCTAGTCTTAGCTCAGGTTCTAGGTCAGGGTGCATGAAGATGTGGAAGTGGTTAGTCATAAATAGTATGCCATGAGTGAAGAAATCCTCTCTGGATCAAGCCTGGGACTCAAACCTCAGGACACAGAGTCAGGGAAATGTAGGAGATGTTCATCCAGCAGATAATTCCCAAGATAGAAATATAAGAAAAGGAAAAATATAAACCTGGAGTTTATAAATGATTCCAGAATCATCAAAGATGATGCCTGGTGGAGCAGAGAATCAATGGTGTTACTTTTAAAAGCCCAGTGCCTTAAAGATTATTTAAATAAATGGCTCACTGCATTAAAAGAAAATATAGGCAGTTCAAGTTAAGAGATTTTGTCTGCACAATGAAGAGGGGGAATTGTTAGACACCCGAACAGAAATCTTCAGAATGAACAGCTCATGAAATCAGATAGCAAGATCAGCAACAAACTTGATTAGGTGAAAGAAGAAATAAGAGAGATTGAAAGACAAGACTTTTGAAATGTTAGGGCCAGACATAAATGAAGAAAAAGAAGGAATGAAGAGAAAATATGAGTGTTTTGAGAAACCTTTTTTTAAAGATCGAATATTTGACTCATTGACATACCCATGTAACAAGAGCCTCGGGATGACTTCAGAAGTGGGCTGGGGAAATGGCTCAGTTAAGAGGGCTTACTCATCTACAACACTTGAGGTTGGTTCCCAGCACACACATCAGGCAGTACACAACCACCTCATATACAACAACAGGGAATCCAGCGCCCTCTTCTGGCCTCCAAGTTCACCCACACATGGCATGCTCGCATACAGACACACAAACAAATTTTTAAAGAGGAAGGGGGTGACTTAGAGTTAAGAGTACTGCCTTCTTTTCCAGAGCACCTGGCTCAATTTCCAATGTCCAGATGGCAGCTCACTTCAGTTCCAGGGGATCCAATACAGACACTGCATGCAAACAGTGTACATAGTCAAGCACCTACACATACAATCAACCAATAAATCTAAGAAAATTTAAATTCCCAAGCCAAACTTGGAATTTCAGTGAACACAAAGATATATGTGTCTGCTGAAGAGCAGGACCCATTGTCTCTCCCTTCTGTGGGATACAAAGATTGCTGTAGGCCTCAGTCATCAGGCTAAAATTAGAATTCCTTTCTAAGAAAAGACAGTGGGAATGCTCCTCCTTGGATGTTAAGTACCAGGAGGGAAGCCAAGGTGATAACAAAGCTGGAGTGGCTGTGAAGCGGTGAGGAAGAGAAAGGTTGCTGGCTCAGTGAAATGGGTCCGTTTGATAGCTGTCACACTAGCAGGCACTACCTGCTGCTGCTTGCTGCTGTCATCACCACAGCTCATTGTTAGCAGAATCCAAGGGCTGCAGTAGCTTCCATGTGCTAAAGCAATTCAGCAGTTAAAGCCCAAAGCAAAGGCAGCAACCTAAGTGGCTGCAGCAGAGGTCTGGTGTTAGAAGCCTGCAGCAATAGGACGTGCTCTTGGGACTTGGTGCATGATACCTAAAAACATATCTGTAAAAGTGACCTGGTAACACATACACCTTTAATCCCAGAACTTGGGATGCAAAGTCAGGTGAATCTCCATGAGTTTGAGGCCAGCTGGTCTACATTTCAGCAGGATTTCTTTGTTGTTCCCCATTGTGTACCTGAGGCTAGTTGACTTGCAGGCTTCCAGGGAATCTCTTGGCTCATCTCAGAAAAGAAGGGAGGGAGGGAGGGAGGGAGAGAGGGAGGAGCTGTTTGAAGATCCCAGGATGAAGCTGACACTATCTAACTATAGAGACCTGGAGGCCTGTACAGACAGACAGGAAATGATGTGGCTGGACACAGACAGGAAGTAAGATGGCTGGGCAGAGAAGGGATATAAGCAGGAAGAAACAGGAAGTGGTTCTCTTTTCTGCTGGGAAACTAATGAGGTAAAGGTGTCTTAGGCTTGCTCCTGCTCTCTAATCTCTCAGCATTTTCCTCTATATCTGACTCCAGGTTTTTATTATTTAGACCTATTAACTCCATTTACATTTCAGCACCCAACATGGGGTACAAAACCACAATCCTGAGATTGAGTCTCATGTTCTACTGGCTGAACTTTATTTGTACAAGCAAGATATCACCACATAGTTAGACAGACAGACAGACAGATATTCTTTACTATAGGAGTACTGGGATTACAGATGCACGCTACCTACCACACCTGGATGTGATTTCTGAGAACTTAAACTCAGATCTTCTGCTGATGTGGCAGCTATTTTACCCACTGAGATATCTCCCCTGCCTGATGTTTTAAAGAACATATTCACCTCTAAGAATAAAGAAAAAATGATTACTTGGGGGGGCTAGTATATTGAGAGAATGGGAGATTTACATTGTACTTTTAAATTTTTAGTGAATTTGTATGTTACATATTAGAAAAAACAAAATTTAAACAAAAAACATGCACAGGGAAAAGTTTGAGTCTGTTTTGAGTCTTTTAGTCTTGTTTCCCCTTGTAGTAATAATCTTAGCACACTTGGATGATTCCTTTTGGATTCAGAGGATTAAGATATATAGCATAATTTTACATTAGTTATGATCTTTTGCTCCCAGGCGGACTCAGCAAGACTGATCATCTTAGAGAGTAACTTACGGAATGGCTCATTGTTAATTCCAGTCCTACTCATGAGACTGGACTTCGTTCAGCACAGTAATAAGAGTGTTTATTGGATGGTGACTGCAATTCACATGTATCATCTATGCTATTCCCTAATGGTACCCTGATAAATAGGTGGTGTTCTTGTCCCCATTTTAGTAGATGAATAAGCTGAAGTTTAGAGTAACTTGCCCCAGGAAGAAGTTGCCTCATTTGACTTTAAGGCGATGCTTGTCATTCTGTGGAGCCCATGCTTAGCCAGCTCAGGAGTTGTTCGGCAGGTTGCTGTACAAACAGTTGTACTTGGCTGTTGTGGGATATTTGTACACTGTGTGAAGGTGTATTGCTGTGATCAGTGTAATAAAAAACTGAACAGCCAGTAGACAGGCAGGAGGTATAGGTGGGATTTCTAGGGAGAGAGGAAGGAAGAAGAGGAGGAATCTAGGTGCACAGGAGATGCCAGGAGACATGGAGAAGAAATAGGAGGTACAAGATGGAAGAGAGGTAATGCCACATGATAGAACTTAGATTAATATAAATGGGTTAATTTAAGTCATAAGAGCTAGTTAGGAACAAGCCTAAACTATAGGATGAGCTTTCATAATTAATAAGAAGTCTCCATGTCATTATTTGGGAGCTGGCTAGTGGAACAGAAAAAGACTTGTTACTCTGAGGGTGTCATTCATAATGAGACTGAATTGAAAAATTCCATGTTCTTCACTGTTTACCATTCAGTCATCTCTAGTGAGGTTTTCATTTCCCAACCAACTAAAAGACCTTAACATAAGTTGAACGTTCATAATGTGACTTGCATGATTGACTGATGGATTTTAAAATATTTTAAATACATAATCTCATGATTATGAAGCCAAATTTTATAGTTTCTGTAATCCCAACCTTTGGGAGGTAAAAGCAGGGAGGATCAGGAGTTTATGATCATCCTCTGCTGTGTAGTGAGGCTAGCCTGGCCTACATGAAACCCTGTCTCAAAAAAAATAAAGGGCCTGGAGAGGTGGCTCAGAAGGTTAAGTAAACCAAATGCTCTTCCAGAGGACCAGACCAGGGGTTCAATTCCCAGCACCCACGTGGTAGCTTAAAACCTCTGTAACTCCAGATCCTGATGCCCGCCCAGGGCTGACCTCTGTTGGGCCTGAGGCATAAAGTAAATGTGTCTAATCTTTAAAAAACTGATTTGCTGATTTGCATTGTGGCATTGGTGTGGCATGCCTTTAATCCCAACACTCGGGAGGCTGGGGCAGGCAGATCTCTGTGAGTTCCAGTCCAGTCTGGTCTACAGAGCGAGTTCCAGGGCAACCTCCAAAGCAATACAGAGAAACCCTGTCTCGGGAAAAAAAAATAAAGGCAACAACAAACAAACATGATTTGCTTATTTATTGTGTTGTGCTAAGAATTACATGCAGGGCTGCATGAATGCTGAGCTAGCTCCAGTGCCGAGTTCTACCCCTCCCCCAGCCCCAAACCCATGTTGGTGGCTCAGCAGCTAACTCTCCTTTTCTCTCACTGCAGCTTCGGCAGTCCCAGTCCTACTGCACAGACACAGAATGCCTCCGGGAGTGTAAGTACCAGTGGGAAGCAGGAGGGTGGGGCTGGGCACAAGGAAGGGCCTGGAAGAGTCAGCACAGTATTCTCCCTTTGAATTCTTTATTCTCTCTCTGTCTCTATTTCTCTCCCTCCCTCTCTCTCCCCCCCCCACCCCACAGCCTGGAACAATGGCTGGCCTCCAGCCTCTGTCTCCTGAGTACTGCTCAGATTAAAAGCATGCCCCACCATCATCCAGCATATTATTTTAATTTTTGAAAAGCAGTTTCCTGGGAAAAGATGGCTCTGAGGTTGAGTACTGGCTGCTATTCCAGAGGTCCTGAGTTCAATTCCCAGCAACCACATAGTGGCTCACCAAAATCTGGAGATTTGGTGCCCTCTTCTGGCATGCAGGAATATATTTGCAGGCAGAACACTATATACATAATAAATAAATAAATATTTAAAGGGGGGGTGGAAATAAACAGTTTTAGATAGCCCAGGCTGGCCTTGAACATCTGATTGCGTGGCCTCCACCTCCTGAGGTGCTACGATTACCATCTTGCCTGACTTAGTTTATTTTATGGTGAGTGGCTCTTGGTTATATATTTGCTTAATATACTCAAAAAATGTTTTGGCTGCTGGTGGTGGTGGCGGCGCATGCTTTTAATCCCAGCACTCAGGAGGCAGAGGCAGGTGGATCTCTGTGAGTTCAAGACCAGCCTGGTCCAGGACAGCCTCCAAAGCCACAGAGAAACCCTCTGTCAAAAAAACAAACAAACAAAACAAAACTGTTTTGGCTGCTTAAAGTGGGAATACAGGCTCCTTCAGGAAGAGTTACCACCTACTTACTTATAGCTCTTCTGTCATGGGTGGTAATGCATGCTTAAAATCCCACATGGGAGTCCAAGGCAAGAGAATGATGAATTCTAGGCTATCCTGTGGTACATGGCAAGATCTTGGGTGAAAAAAAAAAACAACATAACTCTTTCTTTGTAGCTTCTTCAGCTAAAAAGATGTTTGTGGGAGACTGATAGGGCCAAGGAGTTGCCAGCACCCAAAGGTGGGGAAGTATGGAAGGTAAATGCATGGGAGAGAATTTGTGAAGGAAGTTTTCAGATTCTACTGTAGATATCCGTCTTCAGTAAAGAATTCGTATTTCGTCATTACCAAGATAACATGTTTATAGGAATCTCTCATTTCGATGTAACCTTGGCTGCTCTGGAACACACTTTGTAGACAAGGCTGGCCTCGACCTCAAAGAGATCCACCTGCCTCTACCTCCAGAGTTCTGGGATTAAAGACGTGCGCTACCACTACCAAGTGGGAGTTTTTCTTTGATTTGATATTTCTAACCTGATTCAAGCTCAAAATAATTTTTAAATTCAAAAGGCATACTTTGGCCATCCTGAAGTCTCCTGCACACATCTGAAGGCTTTGACTGCCTTCATTTATTGTGTGGTAGTAGTTTTCTAACCTTAGGCAAATACTCTGCTTGTGACCTACATTTCTAGCTCCAAATTACATTCATTAATAGATTAGTTGTTTATATTTAGTATCAGGTGCTAATCTCTGTGTGTGTGCTTGTGCGTTTGTGTATGCAAGCGCTCAGAGGTAGACTGAATCAAGTATATTCCTTAATCACTCTCCACCTTTATCCCAGCACTTAGGAGGCAGAGGCAGAGGCAGGTGGATCTAGAAGAGCTTAAGATCAGTCTGATGTACAGAGTGAGTTCTAGGACAGTCAGAATGACACAAAGACTTATACAGCAAACTCGCCTCCAGCAGTCCTCATGTGCACCCATGGTTCTGAGACCAGCTATACGATTGACTTTAGAGTAAATAAGCTTGGAAACTGGTAGCTGACTCCCATAAATTATCTTCTTACCTCCCCACAAACAAATATTAGTCTAAGGATATAGTTCGGTGGTAGAGGGTTTGACTAATTTGTCTAACCAGCACTCAGAAAAGAAAAATTAAAAACAGAAGAAACTGTGGGCAGGAGAGATGGCTCAGAGATTAAGAGCACTGGCTGCTCTTCCAGAGGTCCTGAGTTCAATTCCCAGCAACCACATGGTGGCTCACAACCATCTGTAATGGGATCGGGTGCCCTCTTCTGGTGTGCAAGCAGGGACACATGCAGACAAGAACACTGTATACATAATAAATAAATCGAAGAAGAAGAAGAAGAAGAGGAGGAGGAGGAGGAGGAGGAGGAGAAGGAGAAGGAGAAGAAGAAGAAGAAGAAGAAGAAGAAGAAGAAGAAGAAGAAGAAGAAGAAGAAGAAGAAGAAGGGAGGAAGAAGGAAGAAAAAACTTTATCAAGCCTTGAAGGTCAAGAAAATTGGACCTATTTAGATTTTCAGGTAGAGGGATTTTGCTGCCTATTCCTTCCCCTTGTTCTCCCCACCACTACCACCAATCCAGTTAGTCACTAAGGGCTGTGTTTCTTTGTCCTGCTGCAATTTGTATTTGATTTTGTTGCTTCATTGTCTTATCCTACTAAAGGATTATGTCTACCAGAATCTACATTTTACTGAACTGTGATTGGTCCAATTGTGGATGTTTGTCCAATACCTACTATGTAGCTGACCATTCTGTTTTTTTGGCCTACCTATTTCAGTCTGTGCTCACTGCTACCCTATGAGGTGATGGAGTTGTTTACCATTCACAAATAAAGAAACCAAGGCACCAAGATTCAATAGCTAAAAGATAGTAATCAAGTAGCCACAAGATGGTCTCAGCTCCTAAAAAGTTAACGACCTAGGTAACAACTGGAGCTGAGTAGTTGCTCAGCGCATCCAAGGCCCTGGGTTTGATCCCCAGCTTGGGAAGACCGCAACAGCAATTTGATCACCTAATTAGGAAAACTGGGAAGCCATTCCTTGGATTAAGAAATGCCATGATACTTTGGAGAAGGCAGCAGGACAGTGGCAGAAAGAATGGGATTGTTATAGGGAAGAGGGAGGTAGTGAATGTGAATGCGTGCCAGACAGGGTGGAGGATATGGGATGCTTTGGAAAGACTGGGTGTGCATAGTTCCCTGCCAGAGTAGTATTGAATTACTATTACATCATATTCATTTCGGAAGGTTTTTTTAAAAATGTTCGACCACACCCGTATGCTGCTCCTGAATCAGATGGTCTGACACAGGGCCTCAGAATCTGTGACATGGGTCACAGGCCTTACTGATGTACTGCCAGGCCCGGAAAACATTGGCTCAAAAATATGTAGTAACTAGAAAAAATAAGATTAGATAAGTAGGGCCAGATCACACCAGCAAAGGTCAAGCCCGCATGGTCAGAGTCAGATCCATAGGCAGTGGTTACTGCTAGGCTGGTGAGCAGAGAGGTTCCTGTTACTGGTGTGATGACTCATACTTGTCTGAGAGTTAAGGAAAGGAAAATCAGGAATGTGAGGCATCCCAGGCTACCCTGGAGACCTAATGATAATGGATGATGGATAGACCCTGTGTAAGAAAAATAGGACCCAACAAAGTTCAAGTACCATGGCTCAGCTGATATAAAGGATTGTGTCCTGAGTTCAATCCCCGGGACTCACATGGAGGAAAGACAGAACCAGATCCTGAAAGTCACCCTCTCACCCTCATATGTGTGCTCCACACACAAATAAAGAATAATTGTTTTTGAGATGGGGTTTCTCTGTGTAGTCCTCATTGTCCTGCAAGTCGCTGAATAGACCAGGCTGGTCTCGAACTCATAGATATCACCTGCCATGCTTGATCTACATGAGTTAGTTCCAGGACAGCCTCAAGCCACAGAAATACCCTGTGTGTTGGGGGGGGGGGAGAAAAAAAAGAAATCGCCTGCCTCTGCCTCTGGAGTGCTGGGATTAGAGGCATGTATCAGCACCCCCTAGCTCCATAGGTATTCTTAATCTGGCTTCTTTAGATTTGTGGTTTCTAGAATCCACGAACCTTCTGCAATCAATGCAAAGCTGTTCATGTGTGTAGCCCATGGAGTGTCGGCTGGGCAGGTTAAGGGCACACACTGCATACTCTTGCAGAGGACCAGAGTTCTGTTCCAGGCACCTATGTCAGATGGCTCTGCTTATTGCTCCAGCTCTGGGAACCCAACTCGTTTGGATTCCACTGCATCTGTGTACACAATGCTCATCTCCACACACAGACATACACACATACCCATGATATAAAGTAAATAAAATTGTAAAGAACTATTGGACTAGTCAAAGTCTTTACTGTAATTTGGTTTGTGACTAATGTAAGTTATACCTTATAGATTTCTTCACTTCAGGGAAAGGGAAATTTAAACATACTAGTTTATAGCTATACCCTAAGTTATTAGTGCTTTTCTCAATATGATTTTTAAACATTAGAATTTTTACCTTTATGTCACGATATTATGGTCAGGGTGCAGTTTTGCTACACATGCTCCTCTTGTTTGTCTTCAGTGCCAGGACCCTCCAGTGACAGTGGCGTCAGCATTACTGTGATCCTGATGGCCTGGATGGTGATTGCAGTGCTCCTGTTCTTACTGAGGCCTCCTAATCTGAGAGGCTCCAGCCTCCCCGGGAAGCCATCAAGTCCTCACAGTGTAAGAATGACTTATCATGACTTATCTTTTCTGGGTAGCATGGGGGTGTTTGTTTATCCAAAGGAAGACTTAATTCTTTTTTTTTTTAAAGATTTTATTTATTATGTATATAACATTCTGTTTCCATGTTTATCTGCACACCAAAAAAAGGCACCAGATCTTATGCCTTATGCCAGATGGTAGTAAGCCACCATGTGGTTGCTGGGAATTGAACTCAGGACCTCTGGAAGAGCAGTCAGTGCTCTTAACCCCTGAGCCATCTCTCCAGCTCCCAGGAAGACTTAATTCTTGCACTGAATTCTTTCAGTGTAGTCATAATAAAATTTTCAGTTCCCAATTGTCCTTCCTGGAGATAAACATACAAAACAAACAGCTTGGTGTGGTTCATCTGTAACCCCTGTACTTGAGAGAGTGGGTCAGGAGGATTACCACAAATTCAAGGCCTGCCTAGCCTACCTAGTGAGTTCTAGGCCACCTTGTACTATAAACTGAGATCCTATTTCGGGGAGGGGGGGTGGGTGTCTACAAAATGACACAGCATCCAGAAAAAAAAAATAATAAACAAAAAACTTTTCAGGCTGGGGATGTGGTTCGGTTGGTCAACTGCTTGCCTGGCATGCATGAGGCCATGCATTGGTTCCTCAGTACCTCATAAACAGGGTGTGGTGGTACACACCTGCTTTTTTTTTGAGGCCTTTTGTTGTTAATGTTAGAACTTATTAGAGGAAAGCAAGTATTCAGTGAGAACTGGGCTGCACCATGGAGCTTTCAGTAGAACAGCAGATGCAGATTCACACTATTTTGAGTTAGCTAAGAATGGCTTCATTGGCACACACAGGCTTTCATTGCAGGTGTACCCTTTAATCCCAACACCTGGAGTCAGCTAGAGTTGGTCTCTGAATTCAAGGTCAGCCTAGTCTGCATGATGTGACCCTGTCTGTCTTAAGAAGGGAGAGAGGGAAAGAGGAAGGAAGGAAGGAAAGAAAGCTTTAATGTACTGCAGACTTTACTTGGAAAGGGGAATGTGCATAAAAAGCTTGCATTTATGAGATATTTCTTTCTTATCCTTTTTTCTTACATTGTGTGTACATCTTTATTATTTTTGAGTCAGGGAGCAGTTTCTCCAACGTTTAGAGATAAAGAAATCCAACTTAACCTGACTTAGAAGCCATCACAGGTGACACACCCCCTGGGCCTTACTTGTCTTAGGAACAATAGTTTCTGTATCCTAAGCAAGGACAGAAAAAACCAAACTGCAGTAGAAATGCTGTTCACCCTTACAGAGCATGCCAGGGTAATTAAATAAAGTCTTCCCAGCAGTCCTAAGAGCTCAATTCTTTACTCTCCCTCTCTCTTTCTGTTTTTGAGATAAAGTCTCACTATATGGCCCAGATAGCCCTGATCTCATTTTGTAGCTCAAGCTGGCCACAAACTCAGGATCCTCCTACCATCATCAGCCCATATGGTTTGGCATAGCTTTTACCTTCTTTTAACTAAGATGCTTTCTATTGCAAGTAGCAAAAACCAACAGAAAGATGGATGTATTGGTTAACACACCAAAAGTTCAGTTAGGCTCATTGTTGAGAACGTTTAACAATCCAAAGCAGAACATGTTTGTACACAACTGTAACTTACATACATACAAGAGACCTATTCTAAATATATATATGCATGTATTTGTGCATGCATAGCTAGTTTCTTTTTTCTTACCACAGGCTTCATTGTAAGGTGGGCTTCCCTTATAGATGGTTGCCACAAGCACCCAAGCTTCATTCTGATAAATATTCCAGTGAGAAATGGAAGTCTCTAGTTGTGGGCGTACTGCACTCAGCCAATCACATTAGTGAGAGGATTGACATTATATCAAGGTGGCCGGGATAATCACATCACTAATGCAGGCAGCCTCCCTTTCTTCCATACCACATGCAAAAAGGGGGCACACACTGACAAACCACTGTATTTACCTTATGTTCACACGAGGGCAGGTATGAATTTGGTATGAAGGGGCTGGAGAACAGGTGTGCTGCTCCTTTTTTTACTTATTAGATGCATTAAAAGTCACCTAACCCATTCTTTTTTAATGCCAGGGACAGGACCCACCCGCCCCTCCTGTGGACTAATGTTGATGTGGGAAGCAGAGATTGTTAAATGCTGTGCACGACCAAATGACTGAAGATGACCAGAGTACTCTTAACTTTTTCCTTTTCCACCTGCAATTTGGGATGGTATTGTTTTCATGAGCTTCTAGAAATTTCACTTGCAAACTGACTTTTGCTTCCTGTGTTGCCACAGTCCTTATTTATGGTATGCCTGAGTAAATGATTCTATTGGAAAGTCCACAGGGCTTGTTGGTTGGCCTAAGCTTAAAACATTCCACTCGTTGTCCCTGGAACCGTGATCATAATGTTCGTGGTGGTTTCTGACCCAAGTGAAGGAAAATTGAGATTTCTGCATTTAAGTGTTTTTAGTAGATTTAATAGATTTTAATTTTTTCATAAGGTATTTATTTGGGGTTATTTGGTATGAATGACAGAACCACACTATATTTACTTTACCTCGGCAGTTTGTTTGTGGGTGGCAGTTTTCTGTAGTTCTTGGGACAGTGACGCTTTTAGACTATTTCCCTTAGAGCCTACAGCTGAGGTCTGAGTTGCAGCTGGCTTATGTGGCTAGAATAGGAAAGGTGAACTGGTTCTTTACTGTTTTTTTTTTTTATTAATTGCCATTAAAAATTTCTGATGTTAAGAATACATACTTTAAATAAACACGATTGATTAATATGGTAGTTGGTTTAAAGTCCATTTGGTGTCATTGGAAGCCACTGTACGCTAGCTTACATGGCTCATGAAAGGAAGAGTTGAGTCTGCCTTTGCCGGGTGCACTCTCTATCCTCTGCTAATGTGGCTAACATGGCTATCTTGTTTTTTAGTGAATGCCTCTCAGCAAGCTTCTCTTCCATTCTAATGCATACCTGTTAAAATTATATAATCCTACAATAGTGTATGGGATTGACATTTTCATACCTACCTACTTACTTTCACACCTTTTTTATTTGACAAAAAAAAAATGAGTCTTGTTGCCCTCTGACTAATGAAGAAAAAGAAGCCTTTAATATGAGGTCTTGGTTTATCCCAGGGAAAGGAGGAACATGGCAAACAATATTCTCACCTCTCAGCTCGATTCTGTTTAGTGATGGGATGGGGATGTATTGGAGTGGGAAGGAGCACCAGAAACTGAAATTTTGTAAGAGGTTGCATTTTCTCCTCAGTTCAAAAAGCATTGAATATAGTGGTATTTAAGCATGGGTGGCCTGGAATGTTTGTCTAGGAAGTAGCTGCCATTTGTTGGGGCCAGAACCTATTTTGCTATCAATGTAGAGATTTCCTCACCCAGGTCAGTCTAGGCTGTCACTGTACAGATCTGAGACTATTTGTGTGAACTAAATAAACTTGGCCATCATTGCACCATTGACAGGCCTGTGACCTGGCTCTGTGACACTGGTTATTTCCCCCATGTGGTGGTTACTCTCTGGTCCATAAGCATGGTTAAGGGCATCACTTTGTCCTGTGCTGTGACACTGGCTGCTGGTGTCCTTCCTGGCTCACTTGGTTTTGCCCTCAACACTTGAAATAATAGAACCACCTTTGAGGTACTTGTGCTTGTAATGGGGTGACTTAACCCAGGTAAGTTAAAAACAAATGAACACCGCATGGTCAATGAAGGGTTTCTCTTTTGCTGTGGCTTCATAGCTGGTAGCCAGTTTAATATAAAAGCCAGATATGGTGGCAGTCTTGAGGCCAGACTAAATTATGTAGTGAAGTTCAGGTCATGTTGGGCTGCATGGGAAGACCTTGCCATAAGATGGCCCCATAAAGGAAAGACGGGATGAGGGACTTAAAGCTGAACAAAATTGGAATGGCATCAAATGGAGTGAAATCCCTGCAGTGTTTCTTTTCCCATCCTCACCCTTTAACTGTGAAGGGTCTGCACACGTACTCCAACAGTCTGGCTGTTTTCTAACCTGCTGAAGCGAGACCCGATGGAGAGCTGATGTGTTCATTAAGTCTGCCTCACCTTGGTTTAAAAAAAAATGGACAGAATGTTGATACAGAACATCTTCTTTTAGAGACCTGGCAATATGGATTCTTATTCTAGGTGTTCATTTCAATCACATGCACTTCCTGTGTCTAAGTACCTTAGCCTCAAAGATTTTACTTTCCAAAACAGAAAAGGCTTAGTTACATGTTCACCAGATGTATGTATGATCACAACTGTATAGAAATTTCCAGGGCTGGAGACATGGCTCAGCCATTAAAGGCTAGGTTCACAACCAAAAATATAAGGAAAATCCATTCCAGACATGTCGATGCCTGTTAACAGATGAGTTTCTTTGAGAAAACTTGGTCTTGGGTTTTTTTTTTTTTTTTTTTTTTTTTTTTTTTTTTTTTTTTTTTTGGAAAATTTTCTGTATTCCTTAAATGGTGGTATTCTGCATAGAATATTATTATTAAACTCACTAATAACAAATTCTCTTCTTGAAGCTTCTACATGTTTTAATTGAGCATATTTTTATACCATTATTTGGCTTGCAAACATTCACTTGATCTGCAGCTTCAATTCTCTTAAACTATCAAAAGTAAAAGAGGAAGCTTACATTCCTGTCACTTTGGGCCGTTTGTGCTGTCTGGAGTCCATTTGAGAGTTATTCCATACTGTTTTTACAAAAAACTAGTAATTTTGCTTTTCTGTCTTTCACACGGGACAGGTTAAAATTGGGACTGTTGGTAGCAAAAGGTTTTAGCATGTATCTAAACACTGTCCCATGGTTATTAAGTTTTACAGTGTGCAAGGTTCCCCAGAGTGTCCACTTAGGATGGCTGCCCCATGGTTCTGTTAGTATCTGTGATAGTGTTTACAAACTCACTAACATCTTAGACTTTTGAAGGAATTGTGAAAGCGTGTCACTCTAAATGAAAGTCTGCCTTTTGGTGATTTTGTGCTCAAGCTTGACCAGCTCAATTTAAAACAGAAAACTTCAACTTGAAGAGAGTTGATAGCAAATGATTTAAATATTGTTGTTGCAATAGAAGATAGGAACAGTCTTAACACTTCTCAGTGAAGAACCCTGAGTATTTGTTACATGTCCAATGATTATTTGTGAAAAGCAAAAATGGTCATGTGATGTACTAAATGTAATTTACTGTTTCTAAATGTTTAAATCATGCCAAACAAATCAGTCTGTGCCATCTAGCATTTATTGTTAATCTTTTACTGAGTACTTGGATGGGGCAAAGGGCTTGTACTATGCACTTTTTATTAATGAATAAATAGAAAATGTTAGTAACACTGTTTTCTGTTTGGCTTTTGTGGGAAAAGAAACCTCTTCTACTTAGTAAAGTGTTAACATCCTGGGTTTCTAGTTAAAACTTTTAAGATATTCCTGAGAAATAAGAAAGATATTTACATAATAGACTGGGATGAAGCTCAGTTGATAGAGCCTTCAGGCATGAAGCTGTGTTTTATCACACACACTTCAGAAATGAGGCATGGTGGCACACTTCTGTAATCCCAGCCCTTGGGAATCAGGAGTCCAAGGTCACCCTGTGACATAGCAAGTTTGAAGCCAGCCTTGGATTCAGGAGACTTGTCACAATTATAAAATAGACAAAACAAAAAGTATGGGGTCAGTATTCAGAAGGAAAGGGTCTAAGAACCACTAGGAAGTTACAGTACATTTCTTTGGTTATCTTTTTCTTCCTAAAATATGGGTCAAAGAGACCCATATTTTCTTTGAGGGAGTAATATGCAGCAATATTTTTCTGAGCAGACATTTGTACCCAGAACTGGACCTGTAACTGCACTGAAATCACATAGAAGTAAAATTTTGCTTTTGCTCTGACCTGGAAGGTGTCCAAACACAAAAGAGCATGATATAGTATAAGGTATGGGGAAATAATGCCTTTTGTGTCCAGGGTCATTGAGTACTCTTTAGTCTGGATGGAGGTAGCTGAACTGGTTAGTTGAACAATTATAGGAACTTGGTGTTGGGCCAGTCCTGGAGGGTTGGTTTCTTCTGACAGAGGGTGAGGCACCAAGATTTTGCTGGGTAACTATAAATCAGAAGATGATGGAAAAGGGTTCTCTGTTGTTAAACACTCTTTAAGCTACCCCCAGCAATGGGACCTACTTATACCTTTAAATTTTTCTAACTTTTTTTCCACTATCTGGGGCTGACTCGGTGAAAAAGGAAATCTTTTTATTTACCATTTATCTATTATTTATTTTCCCTTGAGACAAGGTTTCCCTGTGTAGCCTGGCTGTCCTGGAACTTACTCTATAGACAGGCTGACCTTAAACTCACAGAGGTCCGTCTGCCTCTGCCTCTTAAGTGCTCGGATTAAAGTAGATTTTATTATTGTTCAGCTAAATTAAACACTTAATCCTCGGCCTGGCATTGGTGGCACACACCTTTAATTTCAGCACTCGGGAGGCAGAGGCAGGGAGATCTCTGTTGGTTTTAAGACAAATGGCCTGGCATTGGTGGCACACACCTTTAATTTCAGCACTCGGGAGGCAGAGGCAGTCGGATCTCTGTGAGTTTGAGGCCAGCCTGGTCTACAGAACAAGTGCCAGGATAGGCTCCAAAGCTATACACAGAAACCCGTCTCGAAAAACCAACAAACCTAAACCAAAAAAACCCAAACCACTTAATGCTCCTGTCTCCATGTTCTAAGTATTAGAATCGCAGGTGTGTCTAACCACACCCAAGTAGTACATGGTAATGCAATCCAAAGTGTAAAATATCCATGAGCCCTACTGATGCAATTAAGTCATTGAATAAATGAGAGAAAAGTGCTAAAAAATGTTTTGTTCTAGAACTGAGAAACCAAAGCTAAAATCATTCCCTTTTGCCCATTAGTATTTATATTCATGGGCTGGGAATTAGCTGAGACCTAATTCCATTGCAGTAGAATTACCTTTTACACAGCAATTCTTGGGTATTTCCTGATACTTAGAAGTATAAGGAAATTATACATTCTATAATGTGAAATTGCTCTTGTGAGAGTGATGAAGACAAATGACTTCATGAATGACTTCCAGCTGGAGTCTGTCCCATTGATATGAAAGGCCAGGAAGATAAAAAATGCTATCAACTGGTCACGGTTGTGCCTACCTGCAGCTTCAGTACTCAGGAGGTGGAGGCGAAAGACCATGTTTAAAGCTAGCTTGTGCCCCAAAGTAAGACAGTGTCTCTAAGAAAATCAAAACCTAGTTTTAGTAACTAGTAAGGATGACATTTTGCAAAGAGTAGCCTTAAAATGTTAGTAGTGTGAATTTTCATTTCGAATAACTAAATGTTGTGGTGGTCGAGAAAAATCATCGTTTGCAACCCCGAGTTCAATTCCCAGCAATGCATACACATAGTCATGTGTGAGATCATGTCAGGAACCAGTAATCACTTAAAGAATTCTCAGAGCAGGTATTGGCGCTGAGACCTGAACCATGCCATAGTGTGGGAAAGAATGGTAGCAGCAAGTGACAAGTTTCTGAAATTGAAGTACAATTGCCTTTCTCAGGGGATGATTGGCCCTATATGGGGATTGCTTTAGCTGATTGTGGGAGTTGGGGAATATGACAACAGTAAAAGGTTTTCGAATGTGCAAAATCAAGCATAATGAGTGTTTTTGACTTCGCTGTTCTCTTGGTTCTGCACACAACAGTGCACCTTGCACGTAAAACTATTATGTTATGAATGGCAATGACTTTACCACAGGTAGGTCTTCTGCTTCGAGAGAAATGTAACAGTTCATGAAAAACAAAGATTTTAAATATTTGTTTTCCTACTATCATACCTCTGTGTTTAAGTATCAGAATTGTACATCTTTGTCTGTATTCTGTTAGAATGTTAGGTTTTAAAAGTTGTTGCCTTTTCTCCCCTATTTAGCACCATCAGGTCTGTCTGTAGGTCTGTGTGGAGGCATGATTTTGGTTTTTGTTTTTTTGTTTCATTTTTCAAGACAGGATTTCACTGTAGCTTTGTAGACCAGGCTAGCCTCGAACTCACAGAGATCCACCTGCTGCCTCTGCCTCCCGAGTGCTGGGATTAAAGGCGTGTGCCGCCACCACCCAGCTGAAATAAGTTAAGCTTTAGAAGACAGCTAGAGGGTAAAAGTGACACTTATGCTCAGAAATGATTTGTGATCCAGGACAAAAACAAGTACAACACACTCAAATACAGGATGATAGTATTTGTCAAATATGAATTGACTGTTGGGTAGTGGTGGTGCACACCTTTGATCCCAGCACTTGGGAAGCAGGTAATCTCTGAGTTTGAAGCCAGTCTGGTGTGCAGAGTGAGTTTCAGGACAGCCAAGAGCTACACAGAGAAACCCTGTCTCAAAAATTTTTTAAGAATAATTAAAAGAAAAAGAAAAGCAATAGTTGTCTCATCACATAAAGGACTGCATAACTGCAGACCTGGAGGAGATGCAGAAGGATGCTCATGGTGCTACCTGAGAGATCCAGTCTATGAGAGGAGGCGCAAAAGGGAAGAAGAGGTGGAACTAACCCCAAACGTTCCTTGCCCCGAAGAAAGATGGGCTTGCTCAAAACAAGGCAAGCTGTCCCAGAGCCAGGAATAGGCTGCTGGAAGCTAAAGTCTTTTCTTCCCCAGAAAGACAGGGGACATCGAAGGGTGATGATGGCTCGCATCTTTAGTCCCAGCACTCAGGAGACAGAGACAGGTGGAGCTCTGAGTTCGAGGCCAGCCTGGTCTACAGAGTGAGTTCAGGATACTTTCTGCCTAGTAGGAACCTGAGTTGGGTCCCTGGGACCCACATGATGGAAGAAGATAACTGACCCTCATAAGCTGTCCTCACCTCTACACACACATGCAAGGTGTCACATGTGCCCCTACACAATCACAATCACAAAAATAGATAATTAAAATTCTTTTTTAAAGAGTTTTTAGTTTATGAATGTTTGTAGGGGACAGTGTAAGCCATGCTTGCTAAAAGCTGGCTACAGGTGTGCCTGACCATGCCTGTCAGGGCGTGGTCAAGGTGAGGTCAGGATGACACATGATAGGGTTTTAAGGGGCTGCCAGGCACATGGGAGCCCCTTCTCTCTGGCCTCCCTGCCTTGCTGCCCCTGGCATGCTCTGGCTTGCGTTTGGCTAGTGTTTATCCAAATAAAGATATCTTAACCTAACAAGCTACGAATCGTCTCATATCAAGCGTTCCATCTGCACGTGCAACTTTAAGCCATAAGAGGGCATCAGATCCCACTATAGATGATTGTGAACCACCATTTGGTTGCTGGAAATTGAACCTGGGTCCTCTGGAAGAACAGCCAGTACTCTTAACCACTGAGCTATCTCTCCAGCCCCTGATAATCAAAATTCTTGTTTGAGAACCCCAACATGAGGGCTGGAGAGATAGCTCAGAGGTTAAGAGCACTGACTGCTCTTCCAGAGGTCCTGAGTTCAATTCCCAGCACCCACGTGGTGGCTCACAACCATCTGTAATGAGATCTAGCTCCCTCTTCTGGCCTGCAGGCATACATGCATGCAGAACACTGTATACATAATAAGTAAATCTTTAAAAAAAAATGAGAATTCCCACATGGATGAGGAAGTTACAAGTCCCACACCTAGCTGAAGCGCTATTGACAATTGGTAGCTGCTAGGGAGAGTCATTTTTCTTTGGGTGTGTGGCCCACGCTCCAGTGAGTGTCCCCATATACGTGTGCATATGGACAGCACTACTTAAACTGAGTGGGTAATTAAAAAAACAACAGAAAAAGGAACAATGGTTGCATCAACCAGCTGCAGCTTCACCAAGGACAAGGCCATTAAGTTCATCATTGGAAACAGTCGAGGCCACTGCCATCAGGGACATTTCCAAAGCTCATGTCTTAGATGCTTAGCTGTTTCCCAAGCACTGTGAGAAGCTGTGGAACAGCATGAGCTGTGCCATCCATAACAAGGTCAGGAGAACTGATCTCATGGAGCTCAAGACGGATCACCCCCACTGCAGTTTAGACTGGCCTGTGCTGCCTCACAACCTCCCCCAGAGCCTTTAAAACCATGTTCCAGGGGGAATAAAATGGAAATCATATTTTTAAAGGAAGACATGAAGTTAGGAAGAGGGCATTTTGGGGGTATCTCAGGGAGTTTGGGTGAGGGAATGGATATGTTTAAAATATATTGTATACATGTATGAAATTCTCAAAGAATAAGATGAATCATATCATGTGATACACAATCATGCATGCAGGCAAAATACCCATACACTTTTTAAAAATTATATTAAAAAGTTAATATAATAATAATAAGAGGCAGAG